ATGACTGGTGAAAATATGCCAAAGAAGACAAAGATTATTTTGTTGATTTAAAACAGGGCTGTCCAATTCATTTTGGAGGCTGGCTATAATTTCAATTACATGTCAGTCAGTGGGCCACCTAGTGAATCATACTTGCTTACACTCATGATTCTTCTATAAATGGATATATATTTGAATCAAACAAAGCTTTAAGTTGCACATTTTTTAATAATAATACCTAATAAAAAATACATCAATGAGACCTATGAAGGGGCTTATTAACTAATAATTTTTCAATATTTGGTGACAACAATTTAATTTTAATATACAAAAGTCGACTCAAAACTAATAGAACAAGTGTAATAAATGCATAGGTTAGATATTAACAGTGGTGTGGCTCACCGTTGTTAATACTTAAGTCATAGTTCATTTTGCAATCGACCAATCACGTGGCATTGGCATTATTGGTAGCACGACATTGTGCATGGTGACAGCCGACCACTACTGTGGGTGGGCAAATTCAAATGTGTTGGCGGGCCTGGGTTTGGGCAGCCTTGATTTGAAAGGTGATCACAACTATTTTTTGGGTTTACCAAGGAATAATTTTGATCAACTTCTTGGAAAAAGGGAAAGCAATAACAGTAACCTATTAATGGCATAGTTGCATTGTTTTGAAAGATGAATTCAAAAAAAATCAGCCAAGATTAGTGTACAAAAAGAGTGCTCTTTCACCAGGACAATGTACAGTTCCACAAATTCAGCTTAAAATTATTTTCTCATTCATCCTATACCCTAGATTTGCCTCTGTTCAATTTCTTCCTGTTCCCAAACTTAAAAATTTGCTTAGTAGAAAGAAATTTTTATTAAATGGAGTGTGTCATTTTGCAGAGTTTCACAAAACTTTTATTTCTGGTAGGATGAAAAAATTGGAAACTTTATGGACCAAGTGTGTAACCCTCAATGCAGACTATATTGAGAAATAAAACTGATTTTTTTTTTTCTGGAAAAAGGTGTTTAACTTGTTTTTTTTGCCAAACTTTTCAAACAATTTTCATAAATGAAAAAGTCAACAAAAAATGGGGTGCATGAATAATGTATGTGTTACTGTGAATGACCGATATCTGACAAATGTCGAGATTCTCCGGTGAATGTCAGCATTCACACAGTCATTTCGTGTATGTACGAAATATTTGCTAAATATCATTATTTCTCACTTACACCGGCAAATGTCGACAATCAGCATGCACTGATGGTGAATGCAGTGGCGTACCGTAGTGGGGGCGGCAGGGGCGGCCCACCCCGGGCGGCACTTTTTAGGGGGCGGCAAAATTGCACAATAAATAATAATAATGTCTTGTAAAAATTTGAACCATCCTAATCTATACTTGCATCGCGCCTACGATAGTGCTATCGTCCGGACAGTCCGGGAATCGGCTCGCCGGGTGAACTAGTAACTTTTTCGTCCGAGGAATTCCTGCGAAACCTGTTGTTTTGCTTGTACGATTCATTCGCGTTCATATACACCACTAATATCCAAT